TTAAATTGTACGTTATTTTTAGTTACAACTTCCCAAATATCAAAATTAACGAAGATACAGTGTTTCCTGTCCTTATTATTTTGCAAACAAAAATTGCCAATTACAGACATGCAGATCATAGATGTTGTGATCTATCATCTCTGTGATCTCTGATACAGGCCAAGTCAAAATGACATAACCTATACAAACACTTCAACCTTTACCCCCTTCCAAACCTTGTGGCTGTAATCTATGTTTTCACAATATTTAGAGTGTTTTCCGTAATACCTTCTCAATATTGATCAAACTAATTCCATCTCAATGTCCCTTAAACGTTTGCTGGGCAGAATAGCTGTTGTCACAGCTTCAACAGATGGGTAAGACCTAATGATATTAAAGTTCCCCAAGACAAGTTTTCAATGAGGTTTAAATTTAAGCATTGGATTCGCTATTGCACAGAGATTAGCTCGAGAAGGGGCAAAGGTTATTGTCAGTAGCCGAAAAGCTAAAAATGTTGAAGCAGCAACAGAAAAGTTGTCCCAAGAAGGCCTAAGCGTTACTGGGTTAGTTTGTCATGTTGGGAAATCTGAGGATAGGCGAAAATTGTTTGATGAAGTAGGTAATGAGTAAATAAATCCGACATTACCCCCATAATAAGCATTGAAATTATTATACAAATTTATTTGAATCGAACATTTCCGCAATAAAAAATATTTAAATTTTGAAGGATATGCTAACTGAGACTCTCTTTAAAGCATAGTTCGAAGGTTTAATCAATTGGTTTAAAAAATAAACGATTTATATCCTCGTACGAAGAATTGTCTTTATAGATAATAAATAAAGTTTCCCAAAGAAAAGAAACCTGTTAAGTACTCCAGGCAACCAAACGACGTAGATTAAACATGAAATTAACTTCATAAAATACATCATTGATTGCTCCAACCCAAAGGTTTGACGTCTGCACGACGTGAGTTTGTCTCATCCATACGACCTGAGTTAAGGGACTCAAAAGACATATCGACTACGTCAGTATCCCAATAATTACGCTAATTTTTTCTATTCGAACTGTCCAAAAAATCGTAACGGTTGATTGGATATTTTAGACCCCGAAAGTTAGCTATTTTTGGAGCTATTTTCTTTTATTTATCTCCTGGTGGAAAGTGGATTTTGAGATTGCTTTTCGAAAAGGTCATTTGGTCTGTTCCGATATTTTCACCCGTTTCGGAGGTATAACGTTTCTAAACTTTTAGACGTCTGAAAGGGCGCAAAGCCCTGATCCGAGCTTCGATTTTTTGGTTCCAGAATAATTCTTTTCGAAAAGGTATTTGCGAAAAATGTTATATTTTCGGAGTATTCTAGTTGAGGCTCGATATCTTAAAAAATGCTGTCGACATTTACTATTCCCTACCTAATTATTAATGATATTTAAGTCAATTTTTACCAATAACTGTATCTAAAGTGACTTGGATGACTTCAAAATGACGTTTTTATTATAACGTTAGCTTGCTTTCCTGAATTCACGTAGATTAGACGTCATGTTGATAACAAGTCCAAATGTGATCAAAGATCCACGTCGATTAAACGTCTGCGTGTTCGCTGAGGTATCCCAATTACGTAATCAATGATTAATTTTAAGCAAAATCTATTCATTTTCATTTCTTTTCAATATACTATTTATTTTACAAAAAGTAAACCAGCAAATTTTATTTAAAAAAATTTAGGTAAAGTAATAATACTTTGATCATTTCACGTGTATTAAACTGCATCCAACATGTTTTATTCCTGTATCAAAACGGACTACGGACACTGCTTTAAAGCGATAACTTAATTAAGCAATCTGGAGAAATATATTAATCAATTTTGTTAACATGAACTATTTTCGTTATTTCTGTGTGCCTATTAATATAAATAATTACGTATTTGATTTCAGGCAAAAAAATTGGGTGGTCTGGATATATTGGTTTCAAATGCCGCTGTTAATCCTGAAGTTGGATCTGTTTTTGATGTAAGGCAGTATTCATAATTAAATTCTCAAACTCTCATTTGACAATGGAAATTGGTCACCTAAAATTTATCAAAGTTTGAAAGTTCGGTAACTTCTCTTTGTTTTGCCTGCTTTTAATGAGTCAGCTAGTAATTTTTTTTACCTGGAGAAACATTTTTTTAACTCCTAACATGGTTTAAAGATATACTTTTGATATTGAGATTCTGTGCATGCAACTTGATCTTTTTTACATTTTAAAACCCTTTTTATACCCATATGTGATTATTTGAATATGTACGGGTGCGAATTAACGAAATAATTTCCAAACTGTTGCATGAAGACGATGTTGACCTTTCTCGGAAATATTTTTCGGTAAAATTGACTTTTTCTCCTATTTATCATTTACTTAGTTAACTTTACAGATAAAGTAGTACACATGTTTAAACACTTCTTATATTTTAAAAACTGGTCTTAAAAATTTTTGCAATTAGGGTGACTTTTAAATAAAGACTCGTGTGGAAAATTGATCACTTTTTAGCAATATCTTGCGAATGGGTGGTGGGATCAGTTACCCAGTTATATGCTAGAGGTGTTTTTTTATAAGTGTCCGAAATTTCACATTTCATATAATATTAATTTTCATTTCTTCTGAATAATTTTTGAAATAATATCGACAATTGAACGAAACAATGATGACGAATTCTTCAAAGTATTATAATAAATATCAATGAAACTAACTAAAATTTTGAAATTTTAATAAATTTGGTATTAAATATTTTGTTTTCAAGTGTTCGGAATCCTCGTGGGATAAAATATTTGAGGTAAACGTAAAGTCTTCATTTATGCTAGCCAAAGAAGCTCTTCCACTTCTAAGAGAAAGCAAAGCTGGCAGAATAATATTCATTTCATCGATTGCTGGTTTCCAGCCTTTTTCGGTAAATTACCTACCTACAAATGTAGCAACGCTTCTTTATTAATTAATTTTGCCCCAGTTATTAGGAGCGTATTCAGTCAGCAAAACTGCTCTGCTTGGTTTAGTAAAAGCTGGCGCAGGACATTTGGCATCAGAAAATATTACTGTGAACTCAATATGCCCAGGAGTCATTGAGACCAGATTCTCTTCATCTGTAAGTCGCTGACCAAATATTTGAAAACATTTGTTCTAATCTGTTGGACTATTTCAGCTGACTGAAGGAGCTGCAGGAGAAATAGCATTGTCCCAAATACCTATAGGAAGGTAAGCTTTTTTTTTTCGAGTCAGTAAGCAGAATAGGCAAATTATAAAAAATTGTGCAATACGTAATTAACTAATGAACACAAGTAGCTCAAAAAAGTGAACGTTCGTGACAATAATGTGTTTGACCCAATACGGAATTTCAGTTTCAACGAGCAAAATATTATGTAACTATTTATTTAAGGTTCAAAAAACCAAAAAATGTCAAAGCAAAACGAAAAAAATCTATTTTACAATTTACCAGCCTAACAAGGTGGACTTGAGTAAGTGCGCTTTGCACCTTAACATATAATGTACGGTTTAACATAATGTACATCCGATTGAAAAACGCTTAGGCTGATATTTTTTAGCGATTAGGCCTCTTATCATCTAGAACACCAGCTTATTTGCGAACATTTTAATGTCACCTTCAATTTAGTACTTTGAAAACTTTCCGTTTCCCAATCTACTTTAGATCGCATTTCCAAAAAAAACACTCCCAACTCCAAAAAAAGCTATAAAAAATTCAAATTGCAGCTGATACATTTTACATTTAGTACAGGATCAATTTGTTTAAACTTGTATTATTTTAGATTTGGGAAACCACACGACGTTAGTGGCGCTGTGGCCTTTTTAGCTTCAGATGATGGAGCATATGTTACTGGCGAAAATCTTGTAATTGGTGGTGGTATGGCTTCGAGATTGTAAATTCTCTACATGCATTATTTATAGCATTAAGTCTGAAGGATATTTCTATATTTCGTTGATTTTTAAATATATATCACGTGAGATAAAAGTTTCAAATTTTACCTAGTATATGTTATTTACCGGACGTTTCGTTTTGGGTTAGTTAGTCTAAAGCACTAGTTACTCAAAATTGTTTTATTATACTTTTACAAAACATCCCCTCATTTTAAACCTACCATGTAAAACCAATTACTATTAATAAAACCATAACAAAACATTACAAATAAATAAGGATATGTGTATATTCAAATTACCTTGACAAACTTTAGAAAGCGATTTGTAACAACTAGAATAAATATGGTGCTTGCATAGCATAGCCGCTCCGACGTGGAAATTATGCAACACATATGAAATATAAAGACCAACCACAAAGCACAAGCACAGTTATTGAAATCTAATAAGTCTATGAAGATTCCGGTTTATTAAAAAGAAGTTTCTCTGAATATATAAATAAATGTGGATCCTCTGAATGAGTATCAATTTTCTTAGAGACCTTCACGTGCCTTCACTTCACAGCATTAATAAATTTATAATGTAATTACCATCATGAAATAATATTAAAAATATACGATTCGACATACAAAAACTGCTATATACTTGTGACGAAAATGTGCGCGTAATTTGAAGAATTTATACTCAATTAATTATTTTTTCAAGATGAAAGCTAACGTAAATCTCTGCTAAACAGGGTGTCTCGAAAGCACATGATCAAAAGGATACTGCGATATTCTTTGCATCAAATGAAGACAATCTGACACAACTTTTGTTCAAAAAAAAAATGTTCTGGTAGTTTTGTACCACGACACACACACACATGAATTCCCCACTTGTCAAAAACGGATGAACTCGATTGTTTCATCAATATATGAGTCTTACATAAGAACAAATTCACAGCGAGTTTCACCAAAATACATGGTAATATTCACCCGATATTGCAAAAAAAAAATTTTTTTGAAGAACTTTGACCGTCAATATTAGAGGAGTCAGACATTTTTTGTTAATAAAAGTTAGGTCAGATCGTCTTCTTTTGATCCAAAGAATATCGCAGTACCCTTTTGATCATGTGCTTACGGGACACCCTGTATATGAAAGTCTGAAGTTACATTGAATTAATTGAGGTTTTTGCATAATGATCGTTATAGTCTTATTTTCGTAAAGCTTTATTTTTCAAATTTCGATTTCTTCTATTGTTCTTTGCCTTCGAAATAAATGTACAATTATATTTCTATACATTTTGGTTGTTTCAGTTTTAGTCTCACTTTTAAATCATAGTTTTTCATTTGGTGAGTGTTGGTGTGCTTATTTTAAAAACAAGATGTTGAATTGTTTGTCAATCGGCTTTGTCTTTGCGTAACTTTTGTATGTTACTTGTGCGTAATGTAAAACTATAAAACAATTCACCGGAAGTCGAATAAATTTATCGACAAGCTCTTAAGTTCTTCATTGTTTTTGGCCTTAAAATTACCATCAATTACAGAAAAATATACCTCCAATTTTCCTCGAACTAAATATTTAGGCAAACGACATAGGCTGGATAAGCGATCAAGTGATCTGCTGCTTTGAATTCTTGCATTATTAAGCGAATCTATTACTTTTATCGATCGTCGATCATGAACAATAGTTAATAGATCCTATTTGTCTAGGAGTTATATTTTAATTTGATCCAACACTACGGACTTAACTGCCACTACCCCGTAATTAACCATCCACTTATCGCGTAAATAACAAAATATTAGCTAATAAAACACACTTCGGGCTGATAAAATAAATAAACATGTAACCATAAACTTTGAAAATCATAACAAGTAAAGTTACAAATTACCTTTGTAAACAAAAAATGCATAACCAGCGTTATAAAAAAGCGGCAAAAAGGGGCTATCTAGTGACTGAGTCATCTTCTGCTGGATTAACACCCGTGGTATAAATAGGGCGTCCCATGAACATGGGATTGGAATTTCCATTGACTATGCTCCCAGTGCGCCTTCTATGAACGGGCGCTGTCGGTTCTTTTGTGATCTTTTTAATATATTTGAACACTCCTTCACCCGGTAAGGATGGCAGTACGTTTGGATGAACATACCATACTCGGTACGTGAAGAACCAGGATAAAATGGCTATACAGCCTCCTAGGAACTTCTCAATCATTACATGATAGTAGAGCATTGTGCAAACTAGCATAATATCCCAAAGCAGCTGAATAATCGTAATCGAAATGAACACTCCCCTAATATAAGGAGTGTATTTTTCATAGTTGTATTGCAGTGTTTGGAATTCTTCAATAGATAAATTTCTGAGAGGATTAGTGCTTTGTTCTGTTTGCCTGGTGGCTCTATTATGTTCCTCCAGTCTTAGAAACTCTTTAATGCTGTCCCAGCTGACCATAGACCTGGTCTCCTCTATGAGCACTAGACTGCCATAAATCAAGATAAATGTATGCCCAGAAGTATCGAAACCATTCCACATATGTCCAGCTTTCAAACAGGATCCTTTCGAGGAGTATTGTTTAATCTGGCATCTCCCAAATGAGGCCTCAATATAATTGAACAAGTTGGTCCAGAAGTACCAGAGCAGCGTTGCAATCGCGAGTCTAGGTAAATGGTGTTGAGCAATTCGTTTAAATTGTCCGCAACAGTACACGTATGAGGTGAATATCACATAGGGAGACAGCAGCAAAAGGTTCCAGCCCCAAGCAAACTTTACAAAGTATTTGTTTAAAATATTATCAGATCTGGATAAGTATCCTCTGGGTATTGTAGCAACATCGGCAATTAGGGAAATGAGGAATAACGAAGCCAGATAGATGCCCACTTTCAAATTGGTGTCGAAGAAAAGAGACTTCTTACATAGATACAGAACCATTAGCATAAATATCTCTTTGATTGATGTTGGCTCACAGGTCGGCTTAGTGCCTTTGAACTCAATGTTAATATCACTGGTGGTCGGTCGGAAATTCAGCTTAGTCGCATGAATGGATTTCCGTTTCGTTGGTTTACTTGCCATTATTTGGTTTTTACTCAAAGTTCTACTTTATGCCAGTAATATCTACTGTAGCAGCTGGAAGACAAAGGGCAATTTCAGCCTTTTTATTTACAACAATATAAAGTTGTGTTACCTTGCATTTGCTATTTGTAGCTGGACAAATAATGCTTTATGTATGAAGTCCTCTGCTGACATTTACAAAATTCAAAAAGTGGAAAATTATTATGAAATTTGGAAATTTAGGTTCGGGCATGAGATAACATGACATTGACTTTCACTGACTGTCAATCAGTGAGAATACATAAATAAGAAGACAATACAAAATATTTTCTTAAATAAATTAAATAATAACACAAATTTCAACTAACAAATTTATTATTATTTACCCTGACGTCCTGAAATATAGCTTCAAGTAATAAATTGGGTTAGAAACACTATATTGTGTCAGGTAGATATAGATAATCGGACAGCTAGTCAACAGCTACTAACCTAGAAACTTACTCGTCTTTATCTATGCTTACTGCATTGCACTTTGAAGCAAAATAACACATAACAAATAAAAATGTTTCCCAGAAACATACTCGCATCCACATGTACGTAGGAATAACAGAAATTGAGGCAAATGGATCAATTTTGTTTTCAATTTTTTAGGGAGAACCTGCAATCAAGTTCAGCTACGGTTCAGATCATACCGGAAAGGAGATTATTGTGAAACGAAAAACCAAAAATATCGTAAAGAAAGGGGACTTCCCATTAATCCAAATACAATTGGGGTGCTCACAGATGGATCCGACTTCAGTTACTTGGATGGCCGAATCGCCCCCTTGGCCCAGGGTCAGAAGAAAAGGATTTTACGTAATGAACAAACAAAGCTACAGATCATAGCTCTGAGTAGAGAGATTGACTTTGCCATTGAACGATATCAGCAAATACAAGACGAGGAGAGTCGTAAGAAACAGCACATATTAGATAGGAAGTTGAAGCCCAAAGGAGCAGCTCTGTTAAGTACAAGTTGAATTGCTAATTGTTTCTGTTCGGTAAATATATTCTAGATTCTAGTCTATTCGATTATGACCAGTTTATCCCTTTTGTTCGTTTCATCGTTGCTGATTAAATGGCGAATGAGTTGATTAAATTAAATACATAATTTTATTTTAGTCCTATCTTTAAGAAATACTGTGCTGTGTATTTCAATGAAATGTAAAAGCCTTGCTTTAGCACAATATTTTTTAATGCTAAGACTGAAATTCTTTATAAACCCTCAATACAATATTTAGAACTCCTAACTTTTAGAATTAAGGCCTCTACAAAACGACTGAAATAGCAATTCAATTCAATATGGTCAGTTTGCTATTTTTCTTTCGATTATTTACTAGTTTATTGGGCCCTTGCGTTCGCACTTAACAATTTACGTACTCACCTTGTCGAAAATCCTGTACTATCAACTTTTAGTGTGTCTTGTGAAAATGCCGCTTTTGACCGCTTTTGACTAGTTGAAATTTACTGACTGCTTTTCCATAAAATATGAAAATCATGATTTGTCAGGGTGACACAGTTCCAAAATTTTCGCGCGTTTGTCAAATCTATATTCTGTTTCTACTCTTTAGTATCATTTTGTAGGTCTGTGGGTTAAATTCGAGAACATTCTTTAGCTCTTGTTGGATTTAGTTTGTATTGATTAGATTCGTTCAGTTGGTTAACTGCTTCTTTTTCTGTTTTTATTAATGCTTAGGCGATATCTCCACAAAACGGCAATTTACCGACAGAGTTCTGCCACTTTGTTGAAAGATTGGCAACTTAAATATCTGTTTTTTGCCTGTCAAGTGAAAGCGTGAAAAGTGTCGTGAATAAAGTCGTGAATTTTAATGGGTGAAAAGTGTTTTCCAGAAGAACCTCCACTGAGAAAAGCTGCTGGTGAAGAGATTTTCTATAAGGTGAGCATATTGTTAATTGCGAAGGCGAAATCCCGCTGGAAATTAGTAAATTATTCTCCCTTGTATTTCACCTACACTAAGCCAGGCCAGCAAGGCAATATATAAAATATAGGGTTTAATTAAAATCTAGAGGCCGCACATTGATGAGGTAATATACACTGTGTCCGTGTTAAGAACTTGCCGCCCTTGTAAAACCTTTATTTGTGATCGATTTCAATGATACTTTTTTTTGTTAGTTAGATTAACAAAATACGTATTCGACTAGTGAGCACTCTGTATTGTCACCTGGAATTCTGGCTAATTTCGTAAACTTTCATGTTAAAATTAAAATGACCTAAAATCCCACTCTGCCAATTTTCATTGTTCTGCGTTGGCGGGAATAAATAAAGTTAAAAAACCCATTTGGTAGGTATTTAAAAAAATACAGAATATTCGCAGAACAACTGATTACAATAATTTTATTCAAGGTAGCTAATGTAGCTGTACGAATTATAAATGATGACGTCTACCATAAGGTTGACTGTTAACCAAATTCAAGTTATTCCCAAAAAACGGTTTTATATTGTGGTTTTCCCTTTATCTCTGATGCCTGTATCTCCGTAAGATTAGGCTGTAGGAAAAGGTTATAGGAGATTGTCATACAATTTTGTTGTTATCTATCCGAATCCAAGAAATTGCATAATTTATGTTATTAACTTTTTAATAACATTAATTAATATGTGCACATGTTAAGGAATAAACAGTCAACATGCCATGCAAACATGGTTAGTCAGTTGGAGACCTATCTTTTTCAAGACTAAACAGCGGTGTTAAACTGGGGACCGAGATTTTTTATTAGTCATAATTCAGAAGCGAATATTTTTATGATATACATAAAATAAGAATACAATTATATCAAGGTCTTTGCTATTCATCAGTTTCCGAAATCACATTGGAAATCCATTTCCGATAAGAAGCAACTCGAGAGTAAACATTGGGATGCTTTTTCGTCGCTATTCCACACTTATTAGTTATAAACGATGCAATCCCAACCTGTTCCATTTTCACTAAAAGCGCCGTCCCTGAATCTCCCTACAACATAAACAGTGAAGTAAAATAAATCGAATTTTGGAATTTTTCAACCGGAAAAACTAAAAACACATACATTGCATGCGCCCCCAGTCATAGCTCCAAAGCAAATGTGATGGACATTGTCCCAAGACGATGAGCATGTTTCATCATCAAAAATATCCACGGATAATTTTTGCAACCTATGTGATATAGGCTCATTTTGCTGAAATGTAAATTGTTATGAAATGCTATAGTATATTCTATGGCAAATTATTATTGAATTAAACTTGAACGAAATTGAAAATAGTGTTAATAAACTTCTGTCTTGTTCGAGAGGTCAAACATAAATATTCTCGCAAAGTTGGAATTGTAAGAATGGTTGTTTAAGGACGGATAGTTTAGAGTAAATCATTTCAAATATACTACGAGCACGAACAAACTGATACGCAAGGCTGTTACTAGTTAACTCTATAATAAAAATAGATGTAAACATTATATAGGGTGTCCCGTAACCACATGATCAAAAGGACCCTGTAATATTCTTTGCATCAAAAAAAGACGATCTGACCTATCTTTATTAACAAAAAATGTTTGGCTCCTCTGCTATTGATGGTGAAAGTTCTGTAAAAAAAAATATTTTTTCAAATATCAGGAGAATGGTACGATGTATTTTAGTGAAACTCGCTGTGAAATTGTTCTTATGTAACACTCATATTTTGATGAAACAATCGAGTTCATCCGTTTTGGACAAGTGGTGAATTCTTGAGTGTCGTGGTACACAAACTACCAGAACTGTTTATTTGGTGGACGAAATCAACCCTTTTTTTTGGGCGATGCATTTATCATGTATTCACAATTTTGTGCTCTTTATAAAATCTTGTACCATTCATAGTTTTTGCGAAAACAAAATTCTGTTTTCTTGCCACTTAACAATGTTAGACACTAACTGCAAATATCGCGATACGCGGCATAAGTTAATGGTCAACCAATCTCACAAATTCGTTTCGAATGACCTTTTCTTATGAAGAAGTGGTGGTGAAGAAAACTGACTGCTAGAAGATTTTACAAAGTGCAATAAAATTGTGAATAAATGATTGCATCAACCAAAAAGAAATGAGTTGATTCCATCCAAAAAAGAAAAAGGTCTGGTAGTTTTTGTACCACGTAAGAATGAACTCGATTGTTTCATCAAAATATGAGCCTTACATAAGAACAAGTTCACAGCGAGTTTCACTAAAACACATCGCACCATTCTCCCGATATTTCAAAAAAGATAAATTTTGAACATTGAAGAATTTTGACCATCAATAGCAGAGGAGCCAGATATTTTTTGTTAGTAAAAGTTAGGTCAGATCGTCTTCTTTTGATCCAAATAATATCGCGGTACCCTGTAATGTGCTTACGGGACACCCTATATACTATTTTAGAATATATGTATTTAGTGTTACAATCAAATGAGAATCATATACTTTCAAATTATGGTACATATTTTTTGTTTATCATATAAGTATTTTGGCGTGTATGAATTTTGAAGCCTATAATTTTGATGATCATTTTTTACACAACCAGTGATAGCCATCTTGTTTTACAGAGAATTATTTAAAAGTGTCGATAACAAAAACTGAAAAAAATATCCCTAAATTGTTCTTGCTAATTAATTCCGTAATTTCACAATACTTTTTGCAAGAATGTCTCGGTCTTTCGGTATACCACGGTAGCCAGTTCTTATTGTTCAAACAGTACTTTCCGCATTTGAAAGTGTATTTAGAAAATTTATTTAACGAAGCGTTTCTTCGGCTCCTATGGTTCAATCATACATTTGAATTGTTCGTTAGGAATATTTACTTTATTTTTTCTTTGATGTTTTAAAGATTTTCTTTTATTTCGAATGTTTCATCAGTTCTTTTGAAAATCACTTAACTATGGCTTTTTATTACGGCAAGTTTTGAAGGCAGTGCTAGTCGTATTTATAATATTGGTTCTAGCTCAAAATACCCGACGGAAATCATTTTGACCAGTTAGAGATCAATAAAGACTTAAATGTTCGTAATTTTTTTATTGTCAACATTTTCTCACTCGGAATCCGATTGGAACTATTTTTTTATCGAATTATTGGTAGCTACCTTTGGCCAAAATTTAATTTATGACATAAGCAAAAATATAGTAAACGTAAAAAAATATAGTACAGGGTGTTTAAACAGTGTCCTGATTTCTAGGTCAAAGTTTAAATCCGTCGGCGGAAGCTTAGATAAAAAAGTATACATTGTGACAGCCTCATGTCTTCTGAGTAAGTTGGATTTTTAGTCGTCGGTTCATCTTGAGCCATTCGAGATATATTAATTTTTTTAGGACCGATCACAAAATTTACATTATTTTATTTAAAATATCTCATATAGAATGTTTTTCTGTTTCCACCATGATATTGCGCTTAAAAAAATAAATTTGTTCTATTTTCGGCTTATTGTCTGTGTGTTGTTTTACCAAATAACAAAATCATATTGTGCTTACCCCAGTTTTTCCCCAGCCAATAATTAGGCCAGTTTGGGGGTTTCTCGTGGAAAAGTCATCAGATAATGTGACCGGCTTCCATGTTCCATCATCGGGCAATGAAGTTTCCAACTAAAAACTAATTTACAGTATTGCGAAGTATTGAATAAATAATTTTACCTCTAATACTGCACAGTCATTGACCAGTTTTTCGGAGTCAAATTCGTGGCAATAAATTTTCTTTATATCTCGTGTATTAACTGGTTCCGTTGTAATCTCCGTTAGGCCATATTGAATGGAATATAAACTGCTGTTTCTGGGTCTGAAATGTATAACATATACAAGGCATTCTCTAGTACAAGTATTGTACTCTTAGAATGTTTTGACTTATCAAGTAAATTTGGAAACGCCGTTTTGGTGCTGAAAAATATCTCAGAATTAACAATTTATAACGAAAAATTATAGTTTTTTAAACTACGAGAAATGTTCCAAAATGACCTACAGCTAATATACAATGTTTTAAGATATCTGATATAATTTTATCTAACTCAATTGAAACAATCCAACCAGTGAGGAGAATACTGAAATTTTGTAGTTTTCGCGGATTAAGCAGCCAAACAAGTGATAGGATTTGGCAATAAAATGTCGATATTTATTTTTGATTAATTAATGAACAAAATGTTTTAGGAAAGTGAAATCCTGAACTGTTTAATAAGCAACCCATATAGCATGCGTGACTAAAATAATATTACATTAAATACTCTGTAGCTTAGTTCTTCGACTGAATATGCGGATTCTGTAACATTAGATATACCTTTCATTATTGCAAACACAATGGGCAGCACTTAGGACAAAGTTGTCATTTAAAATCGTCCCACCGCAGGTGTGCTTTGTTTTATATCTTAAGGAAACCTGAAACAATCGGATATATTCAGGTTGTTATAGCAAACAGATTCATTGTACCGCAAATGGGAATTCTCCCTGTTCAGCATCGGTTCCATTAACAATTCTGGACGAACCTGGAAGAAATTATTTTTATTACGCTAGCAAAAAATTCTCAGGGTTTCTTACCATAAATTTCCACAGAACAGAGTGAAAATGTCAGACTAAAGATATACAAATAGCGGGAAGCACCCGTAACGGAACTAGGCCAATTCAATATCTTCATTGCAAACGTTTAATTAAATGGCTTTCGTGTTCATGACTTATTTTATAGTTGCCGACTTGAATAAAACATCACATTGTATCTAAATTTGCGCTACAGGGAACCGTTTTATCAGTTTTTATTTAAAACATTTACATAAGTATCGTATTCGAGAAATAGTTGATTTGGCTCAAAGATATTTCAATCAAAATATCGTATAAATTTCGACTAAAACTCAAAGTCAAAGTCTCAAGTATGTGGTTTTTTTTTTGTTTAGCCTTATTAAATTCCAATGATTCCGATAAGGCAAGTTGTTCCGTTTTGAACACTCTTGTAAGATGTCGATTTTTTCTGGTCCTGGAAATAAGTGGGCAGAAGCTAATGAATGGGTAGTAAAAGCTGAATCGGTCTCTACGACATCAGAGTTTGTAGCTTTATTAAAACGATTAGCGTCTTAATGTAATCTAGTGGAAAATTTTCTCCCAGACTGTCCAACAGGAACCGACGGACACTCTCCACAACTTAAGCGATATACTCCTGATTTTGAGAGTAAATCTAGTTATTTTGTTGTTTTCTAACTAGGTGATTCTTTAAAGTGTTCACATGTATAGTCTATTTTATTAATTATTTGAAAAGAAAAACATTGTTGCAATCGATAAAATTATAACGTTCAGGTGTATGTTAAATTCAGCTGTAAACAGTGGAATGTTAAACAGACAATAATACAAAGAATTGAATGCAGCGAACTTGCGAGGATGAGGAGAGTTGGTTTCAAAGCAAATAACAAATACTATCTGGTGAAGAGGATTTTCTGTAAATTTACGGAATTTAGTGGAAAATTTTCTCTTTAACAATATGTCTATGTTCAGTCAGTTTTTATACAGTGAACTGTAAACGGGAGGGAAGAGTTATAAATTGTAGAAAGGAATGAAGCAATTAGATTATGCTCGTTCGTCCAGAGTCTGAACATGTCGTCTACGTATTGTTTATAAAATGTGATGTATAGTTTGTACTCACTTGACATAATTTTCAGGGTCAGGGTCTATTTTAGGTTTCAGTTACCAGTGGTGATAAACAAGACCCCAACATTATTTGATATATTTCAAATTTTATGTAAAAAATGACAGTTGCGGCCACTCGAATAATTATCGTTCCAAATAAAGTTTAGAAAACAGCCCAAAATACTTTTTTCAATTTAAAACCCCCATTTTTAATAATTTTATCTTATTCAGTATTATTAATAAGGGCAAGTTTATGTAAGGTTGTCTATTCGAAAAGTGTTTAGTTTTCGAAATATTGTCAATTTAATGTTTTCAAATGGAGGCTATTTTGTAGCATCTTATTTTGAACACTGATACTCTCAGTTACCATGATGTGAGTGGCAATTTTTGACCCAACTTGATTAATATTTGAATTTAGAGTCTCCCAAAAGTTCCTCAAATTGACTTGATGCATGCGTGAATTTCATGAAAAATTGGTGAATTTATTAAATAGATTTGGAATTTGGCGGGCAAAACGCCATGTATATGGCTAAATTCTGTCATTTTGACATTTACTCTGACGCCTCAAATCTAGTTCTCTAACCGAAATCCATCTAAAACGTGAAGAATTCGCGGAATTTTCGTTCATCCGATGGCAGACGGGGAGACCCGAAGAATGGGAAACGCCCCGCTGTGAGACCTTCGTCGGAATGCGTGGAATGCCCCACCCGACTTGGGCCAATAGGAAGCGGAGTTGCCCGAGGAATTTGAAACCACGCGACCATCAGACTCTACTAAATCGGTTTTGATGCGCATGAAAACCGGATTCTAAGAAGAAATGCGTAGTAAAGTAGCGTAAATTTACCATGAATGGAATACCAGAGCTTCTTGTTTTGGCGCTATGGTGGTAGTTTTCGCATGTTGAATGAATTCAAGTGGGGTGTTTGGGTATTTTGAATATTTGGTGACCCAAAATAAACTATTTGAAAATGATTTTGAATTTTTGATATGACTTCAGATCACATTCTCCATAAATAATTAATAAGTTTAAATAACCTTCGTTTGTATAATTTAATCGTCTGGTCATGATTATTAATTATTTTCAAAAGGTAACTGACAGCTGTATGTCATTTTTTGATTGATTTGATGATTGATTGATGATCTGTGATTGTATTAAAAATGGCCACTTTTGTCATGGCAACTAAGAGCCATATACATGGCGTTTTGCCCGCCAAATTCCAAATCTATTTAATAAATTCACCAATTTTTCATGAAATTCACGCATGCATAAAGTCAATTTGAAGAACTTTTGGGAGACTAAATTCAAATATTAATCAAGTTGGGTCAAAAATTGCCACTTTCATCATGGTAACTGAGAGTATCAGTGTTCAAAATAAGATGCGACAAAATAGCCATATGAAAACATTAAACTGGCAATATTTAGAAAACTAAACACTTTTGGAATAGACAACTTTGCACAAACTTACCCTTATTTTTAATACTGATTAAGATAAAATGATTAAAAATGGGGGTTTCCATTTGGAAAAATTGATTTTGGTCGGTTTATCAGCTTTATGCAGCAATATGATGGCCTTATCCCGTTTTTCGGGCGTTGTAGTATCAGGCAAGCATTGTATAGTTTGCACAGTATTTTTAATAGTGCTGTTTCTCCCATTTTCATATTTTCAATGCTAACTCCGTCGTCTCCTGGTGATTTGTTTTTCTTCATGCCCTTCAAGCTGTTGTTAATTTCGTCTGGTGTGATATCGGGGTATCCTCTGACCCCGGGTTTTGTATTTTGGGGATGTTTGTGTTGCCCTCTGATACTGTCGTAGGTTACGTAGAGATCCACATAAAATTCTCTTACAATTTTCAGAATGTCATCATCTGTGTTAATGATGTTTGTAACCATGAGCCTACTTAATTTTCGGCAACTTGGACGTTTTTACCCTAAATTGCAAAATTTTAAAACCGTTAAATCCGATCGTTTCCATTGGGTTCGACTTATTTATTTTACTTGGTCCATCTTAGTACGTATCAGGTACTAATCAGGTGTAATGTTGTGAACATCAAGTTTTGTATTATTTTTTAACACAATGTGCGTGTAATTAGTGTTATTGTTTTGTATAAATACCTAACGTCTGATGGTCTAAGAGCGAAACCCGGGTTACATACCTATTAAATAACCACATACTTGATACTTTGACTTTGCGTTTTAGTCGATATTTTTGCTATATATCACATATAGTGGTGTAAAGTATATAAATACCTTTGTATTATGCACCCATCACCAATCAAGCTCCACCACATGACTTTTAGGGGACAGATGAACTATTTATTATTCAATGACCCTTGTAGCTCTTCAATCCGTTATCAATAGCAATCGCCCTACTAACGATATTGAAAAAATCACATCAGGCAAAGTAGTAAGACGGCGCCTTGGTCCCGCACCCCCTTGCTAGAGGGGTAAAGATTGCATGCACGGCGCTTTGCGTCGCGACGACCACCTCACTGTTTGGAGGGTGGTCGGAGCAGCGAGAGGCGCCGTCGACGTCGCTCTACCCTCTGTACGCGTCAAGCATTGATCAAACTCGTAGAGCCATTCCTCAGCAAGTGGAACAAGTTCCTTCGGTTCCAAATATCTGCATTCCATAAAGTGACTGCTAGTTAGTTGTAGTTCAATTGTGCTTTTAGTGCTATAAGTTGGATTTTTCTTCGCTTCAATTAGAAGTCGTAGATCTAAGGCTGACAACTATTTACTCTCTCGGTAAGATTGAAACTGCTGTTTATGATTTTCCCAATTGAGGATTGAGGAATTTTCCACTGTGTTATTTGTGAAAAATAAATAGGAATTGGCATTAATTTAGCRWCMCWGATAAATAGTTCAGACAGACAGACAACAGAAAATAATTCGTCACAGATAAATAKTTTATTTTCTGTTGAAACATATAACCAAGTATATTACGAATACCAATTACTCCAAAACATGACCAGGTTGCACATTGAACAYACTGCACTAAAATGTATRAAAGTATGCATTGAAAAATTGAAATCAATAAACAATTTACACTAATGCCTCTATATAAATCAGCCTCTCATGGGGTAGCAAATCATCTTTGAAGTCCGTACATTGTTTGATTATTTTAATGTGACTGGGATTTATTGGAGTAATTTAATATTTGCTTTCTAAACTTTATTAAAATTTGGTTCAGGTGCAAAAACACTTTTTCTATTTCCTGGAAAATAAAGCAGGAATTATGCGTCTCATTAACGGTTGGTCTAACATGTTCTAACACCAACAAAATTTTAAGTTGTATTTTTTGCCGGTTAGAGGATTTTATACTCCCAACCACAAACGTGTAATTTTGATTTTAAAATTCAGTAATTAAAAAATGTAGGCAAATAAATCTAAAATATTGCATACGGGAAAATTGAATAGAATCTTGAATATTTTATTACTTTTGTTGCTAGTTCATTATAATTACTTTTTTGTGATATATAAAGTATGGCTAAAATCAGTACTTCTCGTCTCACATAAATAAGTTTAGTAAAGTATTTTGAGAGTTTTGTACAGGGTGCTTCATTTTCGACACTTTTATAGCGTATTTAACCTCCGCATTTGCTAGTGCTATAAAAAGTGGTAGGTAGAGCTGCCATTTGCTCGTTTTAGGCCAAATTTAAAATTTAAAATGGTAAAATCAAAATTTGCAAATTTATGCTCGCTAAAGGTACAAGGCAAAATCAATAACTTGGCAATTTCAAAATGACCCTACATTGTCTTAGTTAAAATAAACGCAGAAAAATGTTTTATGTAAAAGTTTCTTTATAATGAATGGTGAATTATGTGTCGTTTTCAGAATARATATCCGGTGTCAGAGAACAAAGTTATCGGACCCTATTTTACCCCATAATAGTGTCGAAAATGGGACATCCTGCASTAAGTCCKKATAAATAAGAATAAAATTACGACGTGTTTTTGAGRCCTCTAAAAACTTTAATTGCAAAGTCATGAAATTGGTAACTTCTGCTCACRGTTCAAATCTTTTCAAATTATCGCTACTAAAGACAGTTTYGCGATTATTGAATACCTTAATTAACTTAAATCGCAGAATGAGCAGAGCTTATATTTGGTGTCTCATTAAGTACGAACCAGGTGGTTTTTTAATTAATTTTTTTAATTACAAATTTATCTTTTATTACTGCATATCTGCTTTAAAGTTAGATTGATTGACTAGACATTTCTATTTCCTACATTATAATGSTCTCTTTGTATGGAATTTCCGTAAAGCGCCTTCAAGACATGCAATAAATAGACATAAAATGTTCAATTGTTGAAGGGCGGCAGTCACTCTGCAACTTGAAAAAAATTAGAAAGAAAGAAACCTAAAAAATTCGCATAAAGTGGAATTTGAACGCACAAAAATGGTTTCTGATCTTAAGAAAATGCATTATGCGAAAGTAATTTTCAACGAAACATATCGTTCTATCTTTGGAAAGAGATTAATTTAAGATCGGCTGTTCACGCAGTTTCAAAATTAAATTTCGTTATGAAAATGAAGTGAAAATAGGATTTCCTGCACATGTTTCAAGTATATTTGAGCCAAATGAATCAACCTTTGCATCTTAAGAACTCGGAAGTTTATTTTTTGCGATAAAGTAGGAGCAGAACGGAAAAGAATAAAAAAATACTATGATGCAGCATAGTGAATATGCATCATACAAGCGACAACTATGATTTTCAGTATTGAACCGACAATAATTAGTATTTTGAAATGATGATCTATTTTTGAAAAGAAAACAAGACGAAGAACTATCTGATCTGTTTCATTAGGTTCATAAATGAGAAGTACAATAACATGCAATTTTTTTGTCTGACACAATCAAAACTAGAGTTTGTTTCGAATGCTTTTTAAGCAGTTCAAGTTTGACAACATTTAGTTCAACATCTCTTCCGGAGAATTTGAGTTGTCAAATTTCAAATTTGAAGCTAGAATTTCAATTAAAGCTCAGAAGTTCCAAAAATGTCTGAGACTCAAAACGTGTTGGTAATGTTGAGGCTCTCTGTGATTTGTTTCCCAATTTTAATTTTGAAAACTTTCTTCGTTTAAGCAGTGTTTCTACTACAATTTATCCAAGGAATATTCGTTTTGTAGTAAAAATAATGAACTTTACAACCAAAGAAGCAATTTTGTGTCTAAATACAATTTTAGTTATTTGTTGAGCTAGATCTAGTGCAAAAAATAATTTCTAACTTGTTCGACTTGTTTTCGGTTTTAAAATTTTGTTGGAACGAAATAAAAAAATATATTATGAGGATCTATTTCAATTTATAAATAGTTTTCAATTATTTTGTTGAATGTAACTGTATTGACTGAAAGATTTTCAATTTGGTAAACATTTATTACTTTTATCCAGAAAGCCTGCTTTTTATTGAAAAACTTGCTTTGCCAGGAACTTTACTCATTACGGTGTTCTTTCTTATATTGATAATACTTGACGAATAMAATGTAAAAATGATGTCCATRCCAACAAATTATTGTTTGCATCTGAATTTGGAAAGATTGAAAAATTTGCAARTTATATACTTTACTTATAAACGAATTTAATATAACTTCTTCATATATCTCCAATTATTTTGCTTAATTTTTGTGGATCAAAAAATGTTTGACGAAACGAAGAAGTTTGTAGAAAGATAGGAAAGTAAGAAGGTACGAAATATTCAGTCCAAAAAATTTGATACAAATTAACTGAATTTTAGTATATTTGTATAGGCATAAAATTGCATTTTTGATTGTAAGGTTTTAGTCTTTTGTGATTTTGCTATAACAGAAGACTATTCCATTGTGAGTAACTGAGTCATATAGGCGGTTGCTCCTACATCTTAAGTATGCGTTAAATAAAAATAAAACAACATAATTGCAACTATCTCTAATAGATACGTTTAATTTTAGCTTAGCTCTAATATTTCCTGAGTTGCATAATTAACAACACTAAATGTTTTGAAAGAAACCAATAGCCGGAATATGTTTCCATGTGGTTTCTCCTTTAGTTGCTTTGTAAGTGTAAAAAAGTCCACAAATTGCCAAATCTACCTTCAAAAAGATGTTATTGTGCTGTTATAAAATGCTTCTAGACTCATTTGTTTAATTTCGATTAATGTTGGCCTTCGCAATTCTATTACGTGCAATCAATATACAGATTTAGCTTCCATTAACGGAAACCTTTGTTTCCTTTACATAACATTTAGCTACATAGTGAAGAAATTAAATTTAGCACACAACAGAAAGACTCGATGAGAATCAAAATTCATTAACAATTACTATTGCTGAATTCTGGCTTATACATTTCGAACCCAGTAGTAAATATATTTCGTGCTTCTATCTTTTCGCTCTGATTACCATGGTTTTTTCACATTTCTTTCGACGAGTATTACGTTCTCGAAGTCAATATCGAATCGTGTACCATAAATAAACATAACAGAAAGCTTAAAAGGGTGCGTGACTTTTATAAATTCCATTTTCCTCAAAAGTAATTCCTTTCAAATAACATTATCATTCGCCTTATACTTTTTCATCGAGATTCGTAAGTCTCCACTTTTCTGGGAGGGCTTACCGTGGCATTTTATATGAGGATAAAGGCGAAAAAGGCTCAGTGATGGCAGATTATTGTAACTAAAGGGCTTTTCTCCATTCCAGCACTAGAAACTGACTTGTGTTTATGTACGTTTTGCATGTACTTCAACTGAAATTGTTATTCAATATTCTACCTTATAAATACTTCAAAACAGAACATGGTAGTCGTTTTTTTCCGCTTAAGGAAAAGCCAGAAGTAACTTGCCCTCCAAACTTTTCCAATTATTTTTCCAGCTTAATCATTTTTTTATAACTTGGTTTAACCTTGAGTATTCGGGTCTCATCGAAAACTGATTTTTTACCAAATACTGCCATTAACTGCGACTAGTATGTTGAATATGTTTTTTCTTAAAGTATTAATTCTATGCTTATATTTGCCAAATATTTAGGATATTGGCTTTCAGAGTTATGGATTTTTTTAAGAATTAGAGGGTTATTTGATATTTTTTTGATGCCATTGATTGTGATTGAGAATTTGTTGAGAGCCTGAGAACACTATCAAACACAATTTTATCAAAGTTATTAATTGGGAAATTTATTAATTATTAACAAAATAATAAAAATAATAAAAAAGTATCCTCACGACACGTATAAGAATGTTGACAATATTTCTAGAAATTTACTGTGTTAACTATGTGCTATTAACTCCTTACGCAAGACCTGTGTTCGGACAGTAAATCTGTTTAATAAAAGTTAATCCAGACCGCAAACTGCATGCCATTAAAAYAAAATAAAACGAGAAAAGTTTGATAACATYAAATWAAATTTGTTTGAAGAGAAACATATTAAGTYACTTTTAATGATCAATTAAAAAGAATTAACSGCAAAAATTTTACTTCGAWWTCGTTTGAGMATGAAAATAAAAAAAATCTCGCTTTAGACTTGGTTMCTATTGACTTACGTTAATAAATAAATTATATAATTATAGTACTCCTTCCCTGCATTCTCATATTTACTATCATCAWAATTATAATWGATTTTAACATGATATAATATTTTACTTTATAGTTACCTTATATAAATTTMCTCTCACGYAAGCCATGCAGAGTAAAGTGCAAGGAAGAGTCATTACAAAGCCCTTTTRCGAATGKTTTTTTAATTTATCCAGCTTTAAAAACCTATATATGTATGAACT